GAGGTCAGTACCTGCCGGGCGGCCGCCTTTGTTGTCTGGGCCCGCGCCCGGCCCGGCCCGGCCCGGCCCCCGCGCTGCCCGGCAGGCGGCCGGGCGGGCTGGCGGGCGCGGCGGCGGGGCTTCCGGCTCGTCTCCGCCCCGAAGGAGCCGCAAGTTTGGCGCTGCGGCGGAGCCGTCCGGCCGTGCCTGGGGTGGGGCGGGGGGGTCGGCGGGGCAGAGGCAGGGTCGCCCCCCCTCCGCCTGGAAGGCAGCTCCGACGTGGCTTCGGCGGCCGAAGTTGGGCAAAGGCTGCCGGGGAAGAGAGGCTCCTTCTCCGGAAATGGGGCGACTTCCCCGCGTGGGCAAGGGGCTTCTCCGGGCCGAGAGGGGCGCCCACCCCCGGAAAAGATCCCGCCCGCTTTCCGGAGCGGAGTGTGGGCTCTGCACGCCCCTTCCTCCGGAAGCGCGAAGTTGGGTAGCCCCTTCCCGCAGAGGCGCGGGGGAAGCGAGGGCTGCCCGCGTGCAATGCCGCCCCCTCCCTCCCCACCCCGAGGCACCTGGGAGCCGCGGATGACCGGCCGAGTGGAGCCCCCCCCGCCGCCGGCTGATGGGCGCCTTCCCTTTCGCCGCGCTTCTCCCCCCCCCCGCCCGCCGGGCCGAGACTTTCTGGGGCTTGGGGGCACCGCCGCTGCGACCTGGCCGGGCACCTCGGAAGGAGGGGGGCGCCCGGGGGGAGGGACGGCTCCTCGGCCGGGCTCTTGCGAAGGGGGCGCGCGGGAGATGCCAGGCTCCCGGTTCCCTTCCCCGGGCCACCTGCCCCCTCGGCAGCTCCCCCACCTGCTCTCTGCGAGCGGGGGCGGCGTCGCACGCCCCCCCCCCCCGGGCTGGCCTTCCGGGACGGGCCCTTTCCGCCGCGGGGCCTGAGCCGGAGGGGACCTGAGGGCGGGCAGAGCGCTTTTGTGGCGAGCGCAGCCCGGGCAGCCCCTGGCCGAAGCGGGAAGGCCCTGCCAGCCCTTGGCGAGCGGGAGACCCGGGCGGCAGGCCCGCCGCTGCTTCCTGCCTGCCTGCCGCCTTAGTCATCGCGGGCTCCCCGGCAGCCCCCCCCCCGCCCCACCTCAGCCCTTCTGCCGGGCGCTCCGAGGCCGCAACCCCCGGGAAGAGGGGTCCCCGGCCGGTTCTCCGGAACGCGGCTCAGCAGCTCGCGCCCGTCGGAAGTTCAGCCGCGGCCGAGAAAGCGCCGCCTCGGTGGCCGGCCAGGTGGGCCTCGGAGGCGGGAGTGGCGCCGGGACTCACCTGGCCCGAAGAGCCGCCCCCTCCCCCGGGTTTGTCCTGTCCGCTACCCGCCCCATTCAAGGGCGAGCCGGGATCTTGGTCAGCAGCGGGGGTGGGGGGTGGGGGGTGGCCGACGGTTGGCTGAGTTGGGCCCCAAGGTTCTCGTTTATTAGGGGAAGGGGCTTTGGTGGCGGGCTTGGCTGCTCCCTGTTTGGCAGGGTGTCCCAGACGCAGCTTTTCTGTTAAAGGGAACCACACAATCCTATCAAATGGATCTCCAGCAGCTTTGGATTCCGGTCCCCATGATTCCCAGTAAGAAAGCGCACCGACATTCTTGTAGCCAGGGGATTTTGCAATTCAAGGGCCACTTGGAGGGTCCAGCTTTGGGAAGGCTGACCTGCCCAACGTCCTGGGCCAACACACTTTTAGGCAGCCCCTAAACCAAGCATGAGAGATAAATCGGCCCTTGCTGGTACTTTTGCTGTTAGTTTGAAAGGTATACAATACCTGTACATGGAGGCTCTTATCAGCAATTGCTAAAACTGGACAGAAACCATTCCTGAATTTGTCGGCTCCTGTTCTTATTTGAGTGTTTCTCAGAAGCTTGTAATAAATTTTGATTTCGTTCTGTTTGTGTGTTTGTGCGTGAAAGGAAAATGCATGCCTTAGTAGCCCTTGTAGTTAGTCCACAATGATTAAGTTTGTTGGGTAGTTTAGTAGGTTTGATTCAAAGTTTTGGGGGAAGCCAGCTGGATCATTTCTCCTTCCCTATCATGAGGATTCCCTTGGTAGGAGCAGTGTGGACTTAAACTTGCTACTACTTTTTCTTCTGGCTGCTAAATAATTTTATTTTTAATCGTGTTTTCATCCAAATGCGCGTACAGGGTTTCCTTCATATAAAGGAAGCTGACTTCAGTGAAGAAAAATGTTTTTATGAAAGGTGTTGCAGCGTCACATTTTGTGTTCGTTCTCTAAACCAGGGACGTCCAACCTTGGCCGCTTTAAGACCTGTGGATTTCAACTCCCAGAATTGCCCTGACTTGAGAATGGCTTGGGAATTCTGGGCGTTGAAGTCCACAGGTCTTAAAGCGGCCAAGGTTGGACGTCCCTGCTCCGTTTCCTAAGTTGTTCCTGACTATGGATAGACCCCCACCTTCCGCATTCCCGTGAGGGGGGCTTTAGGTGGGCAGGAAGGTTCATGTGCAGGGGACCCGAAAGAGCCAACAAGCAGGAACTGCGAATTAAGGCCGGGCTGGAGTTTCAGGAAAGGCAGAGAGATTGGCCCTGCACCCGAGACTTAGTCCTCCTCGGAGCAGCCAGCTCAGGGCATACATAAAACAATTAAAATACTTTTCTGCAAACCCCTATCGGGTGAGGAGGGCAGTCCAGCTTCGAGGCCTCCAGAAACACCGAAGGGGCTTTTGAAGCAGGGTCAGCATTATGACAGAGACTCCCCAGGCCTTGCAGCCAGGTGAGAGAGGGAAAGCTTTAGTCTTTTCTACAGCTGCAGTCCTGAGGCCGAGGCAATAAGCCGGAAGCCTTTAGAACACAAAGGCTTTTTGAACTTGGCACCTACTTGATGATGGATGGACTTCAACTCCCAGAATTCCCCAGGCAGCAGGGAGGCTGGAAACAGAAGGGAGGCAAGTCTTATGGTCACCTCCTTTGTTTCCGCTGACTTTCTGCCTTTCCAGAATGAAAAGTTCCCTCAAAATGTGCTTGGCAAAGAGTCAAATAGAAAAGTCGACCCTTATCAAACCCACTTCTCCTTTCCCCCCTCCTCACCGGCCCCCCAACCCAGCCGGCTGCTCAAGAACTATGGGAATTCTGGGCGTTGAAGTCCACAGGTGGTAAAGGGGCCACGGCTGCCCATCCTGCCCGGGAGCCAGAGGCTCGTCCAGCAGCCCTAGAGAGCAAGGAAAACGGCCGAAGTCTGTAGAGAAAGAAAGACTTCGGCCTTTCTGTTGGGAGGTCACCTCCCCAAAAGGGCCAGAGCGCCCCTCCCCCCCCCCCGGGACCCCCCCCCCCCCCAAGCAGAAGCCGGAGAAGCTGCGTGGGAGGGAAGAGGGTTGCTGCGAGGGGCCCAGTTGCATTACGGGAGAAATGGGGATCCAGCTCGGAGGGACTTTGGCCTGCTCTGAATGCAGGAACTGGGGAGGGGGCAGCAGGGGGCGCTTCAGCCAGGCCTCCCTGACCTCCCCTCCTCTGGACCCTCCGGCTGCCCCTCACCTGCCAGTTCTCCACTTCCCTCCATTTCCCACCTTTGGAAGAGCCGGCAGCCCTGGAAAAAGGGACATTCCTTGCCCTTACGGCCGTGGCCGCCTGGTCAGTACTTGCCCACGGGTTTGCATTTATGACAGTCGCAGCCGTCCCAGGGGGCCATGCGATCCCCTTTTGTGACCTTCTCCCAGGCAAAGTCCACGGGAAAACCAGATTCACTTAATGACCGTATGGCTAACTAAACAACTGCAGGGATCGACTTAACAACTGTGGCAAGAAAGGTTTTGCTTAGCAACAGAAAAGTCCAGCTCAATTGTGGCCGTAAGTCGAGGACCACCTGCGAGGGACAAGGGAGGAGCAGGTCAGGGAAAAGGGCCCAGGGCTCCGAGGCCCTGCAGGGGAGGGAGCCCCCCCCCACCCACCCATTGTGACCTCCCTCCCTCCGCCTTCCGTGGAGGAGGAGGAGGGGGGCTCCCTCCACCTGGGCAGCCAGCAGGGAGGCCGTGGCTGCTGGCCCTGCCCACCCACGGTTGCCCCCCAAATGGGTCCCCCCCAAAGGTTGTAAGGGGGAGGGCCGCTCCCTCCAGAGCTAAGGGGGGGTCTTTTCCCCACACCTTCCTCCTCTCCCTCTTGGGAGCCTGACCAGCGGCCCTTTCCCTGGACGGTGCCCCCCCCGCCCCCTCCCCGAGCCCAGGATTTGTCTCCCTCCAGCCATTTTCCCAACTAGATTCAGAGGCTCTCCGGAGCTGCCGTCCAATAAAAGCCCTCAGGGACCCCTCAAGACCCCCCCCCCCCATTCTTTCCCGGCTCCCCCGCCCGTTCCCCCCCCCCCCCCCCCGCAGAGTGGCTCTGGCTTGTCCCCCCCACTTTCCTAAAACGTCCCAAGCTGAAGACGCCGGAAAGGCCTCTCGACAGGAAGTGACTCAGCTGCAGCGGCTCAGCGGCTCAGCTGGCCCAGACGGGGCCCCCTTCGTGGGGGGGGGCTGCTTGCTGGCCCATCAGAGCTCCTTGCCCCCTTTTGCTACCACGGGGGCCCCCCAGGTGTCCCTTTGGGCTGCCCCCCTTGGCCTCTTGGCTGCCTTCCCTCTCTGCCCCACACGGGGGCCTTGGGGGCCTGCTCTGGGGAAGGGGCGGGGGGGCTGGCCCTGACCCTGGGACCCCCCCGGGAAGTCCGGGGCCCTGAACTGCCTCTTTCCACAGAACAGCCCCAGCTCCTCCGAAGGAGAAGGAGAAGCACTCCACCCAGTTCAGGTGGGCTTGGGGGTGGGAGGGGAAGAGGCCCCCCGCTCTGCACCCCCAGCCGACCTGGGCCCCTCTGGGGGGGGCGGCCTCCTCCTGCAACCCCAGCTGAGCCCCTGGCAACCTGGGGTGGACACGTCCGCTTCCCTTGGCAGGATCACGCTGGGCAAGCCAAAGGCCCCTTTGCCTGACCCCCCGAAGACCCAGGCCCAGCAGCCGGAGAAGCCCCCGGGCAGGTGAATGGGGCATGGAGGGAGGAGCGGACGGTGGGCATCCCGGTGCCCAGCTGGGGAAAGGGCCGCGCTGGGGGGGGGGGGGCACGTCTGCTGGCTCCTGCAGGGACCCTGCTCTGCCCCCTTCCTTGTGCCCCGCCCCCCTGCCGGTAACTCAGAGCCCCGCTTAAGGCTGATTTGGGGGGCAGAGAGGCCGGCGGGCTCCATGCCCTTCCCAGCCCCCCCTCACATTCCCACATCCTCCACGGACCCGGCCAGGCCCTGCAACATCCCCTTATAAGGCAGGGCTGCTGTGCGGCTGCTGTTTTCCTTGCCTCCGCCCGCTTCCCTTCCCTCTTCCTGTGCCTTGGGCTGCCTCTGCTCCCTCCCCCCCCCCCGCTCCCCAGGTGCCCCAGCCGTGTGCCTCCTTCCCCTCCTGGTAAGATTGGACCCCCCCACACACACACCAAGTTTCTGGGGTGGGGGGAGACCCATCATGGTTGCTGCTGCTTCCCTTCCAGCTGTCTGGCTGTGTTGGGAGGGGCTCCCAGACAGACCACATGCTTGGGGGGGGGCGCATGGTCCTGTGATAGGCCCCAGCCTCCCGGGGCAGTGTGGGGTGTGTGTGTGTGAGGGTCCTGCAGAGGCCTGGCATTCTGCTCCCTCCCCAAGGCAAGGGGCCAGTCTGGGGGGCTTTTAGCAGGGGAGGCGAGGGAGCCCCCCAAGCGGCCAGGATTCCAGTGGGCCCTCCCCTTCCTTCGCAGGGCTCATGGCCAGAAGGCAGCTGGGTGTTTGTGTGGTCATCTCTGGGCAGCCGCTCTTGGTTAAACATTTCTAGGTGGACACATTCCCCCCCCCACTTGGGGGGTTGGGCTTGCAGGAGAGCGAGCCCCTCCCTGCCTCCCTGACCTTTGATCCCCTCTGCCCGGTGCTCCTCCCTGGCCCAAAGGCGGGCAAGGCTTTTGCACAGGGGAGGGGAGATATTGAGACAGCAGCAGCAGCAACTCTGGGGCTTCCTCCCCCAGTGGGGGCTGGACGTCCAGCGGGGGGGGGGGAGTATTTCTCCAGGCTGGGGCCTCCCTGCAGGTTTTGGCTGGGTGCAAAGAAGTGAGCGCTGGGTGCAATCGGGAGGTTGCCTCCATATTGAGAGGGGGCGGGGCGGTGCCTGCCTTAGACCCGCCTGCCCTTCAGGCTGCAGAAGCGGGTGGGGGCCGCCTGGTTCATCTTCACATGCCCGGCTCAGGAGGTGGAGGTTGGCACTCTCCCCCTTGTGCAACGACAACATCCTGGAAGGAAGGAAGGAGGTTTGCTTGACCCAACCTTTGGGTTTCCTTCCTTGCATCACTGCACTTGTGGTTAGGTTGCGTTTGGACCAGGCAGCACAAGAACCGAGCATGGGGCTGATTTTTTTGGGGGGGGGGGGCTGAGAGGGGGAGGCATTGCTGAACTGCCATCCATAGTCAAACCCTCGCCCTTTTCCTGCCTGTGATGCATTCACACATTTTCTGAGCTGGGCTTAGCCGGGTGGGTGGCAGCAGCCCAAAAGGCTAATACAATCCTTGGTTGCATAAACAAAGGCAGAGGCTGCTATAGAAACGCTCAGGATGGCCACACCTGGAATGCGGCATCCAGTTTTGGCCACCACATTTCAGACAAGACGTTAAAGCTTTGGAAAAAGTGACACTCAGGTGATGAAAGGCCTGGGGACAAAACCTAGGAAGAACGGCCGCAGGATCTGGGTTTGGTTAGCCCAGAGAAAAGGAGGACCAGCGGTGACCTGGGAGCAGCCTTCCAGTGTCTGAGGGGCTGCCCCAGAGAGGAGGGAGGGCGGGAGGGGCTCCACCTCTAGTCTAGACCCTGGACTCTAGGGTGGCCTGTGTGAGCTGGACTAGAAGACCTCCGAGGTCCCTTCCAGCTCTGTTCTGAATGTCGTCAGTCAGTCCTAACTTGTGGGGGACCAAACCGTGACTTAGCCCAATAGGTGAAGGCAGCGATTCTGTGGATTCCATCCAGGGTTGTCCAGCTTCAGACAGGTAGAACTACCTGCCAGGATGAAGCAAGCCGGGGGCCTCTGGGCTGCCTCGTTCATGCAACGCGTGTGCCGTGTGGGATGGGGCAGAAGGCCCTGGCTTTGGGAGCGGGAAAGCAAGCAGTTGTGTGGGAGCCACAGCCTTACCTCCGGCTGCCAGAAACCTCCTCGCTCACCTGCCCTGCTTCCCCTCCAGGTGTGCCAGCCCTGCGTTCTTTCCCGGGGCACAGAAACTTACTCAACCTTCCCTTGTAATGAAAAGCGGCTGCTGTTTTTCAGGAAGCTGATTTTTCTCAGTACCTCATTTTGCACGGCTGCAATTACGGATATTTTTCAACCTTTGTGGAGCCCTGTGATAGTTTTGGGCAAATTGTTCCCTGCACCTGGTTCTTCTTCCGAGCAGGGGTCTCCAACCTCAGCCACTTTAAGGCTGGGGGATTCTGGAGTTGAAGTCCAGCCGTCTTCAAGTGGCCGAGGTGGGAGAGGCCTGCTTTAGAGGAGTCCTCAGCTGGGCTGCTGCCCTCTTGCCGGATTCGGAGGCTCCCCTGGGCTTTTATGCCAGCCCAGGGGCCCCAGAAGTCTGCCCCCCTCCTCCAGTGAGCAGCTGTCGGCAGCTGGGCTGGGCTCTGCCCCAACCTGCCTGGAGGTCTGGCTCTCCCAGTTCAAGGGGGGGCGGGGCTGGGCCTGGCAGGGGAGGAGCTCACTGGGTGGGGGGAGGGAGGGGGTCCTGCTTTTGTTTTGGCTGGGGCTGCTTTCCCTGGAGGCAGATGTGCCATGGCCCCACACAGCTGGAATCCTCCTCCCCCTCCCCCCTCCCCAGGCAGCTACGGCTGTAACTGGCAGATTAGAGTTCATCTGTGGGCATTTCTTTCTGTGCCACCCCCAGCGAGGCTTCCTCCAAGCCGCAGCCCCCCTTGCCTTCCTGGGCCTTCCGTTTTTCCTGTTTTGCAAGTTACAAGACAATTCCTCCAGCTCCTTTGAGGAGGACTCACTGGGCTTCCCTTCCCTTCCTCTCCCCTTCCCTTCCTCTCCCCTTCCCCATAACTTCCAGAGAAGGAAGAAACTGGCAGAATAATTAGCCCTTTTCTTTATCCAAATTTCAGACTGGGGGGGACAAGGGAGGCAGAGCTGCGAACAATAGAAATCCTTTGACAAAATGCAAATACTTTTGCATACTTCGCCCTTAATCCTTTTTTGCACTGGCCACAAAGGGCCCCTCCCTCTTTGACAATGGAAGTGCAGCCCAGAGGAATTTGTGGGCACTTTTCCTACCCGTGAATTGTTCTTCACTGAGCAATGCTGCGTCTTTCTGACCTGAAGGGTTTGGATGGTTTAGAAATATGAAACGCAAATCAATAAATACATTTAACCCGTCTGGAACTGAGGAGAATTGGGTGGGGCGGTGCACAAGCCCCCAAGCCCCAGCTCTTCCGCTTCCGATAGGTGTATCAGGAAGTGTTGCACCCTGGCTTAGAAGGGTCGGGGGCCCCTCTGTGGCTCACCAGATGAGGTTAACTGGGGGGGGGGCGTTATTGGACAGTGGGGTCCAGGGTGCCAGGGGTGCGACCCCCTCCAGGAGGCGGGCCCTCCCATTCAGGCGTCCTGTGCCTTCACCAAGGGGGCAGAATCCCTTTCCCCCTCTGGGACATTCATCCCGGATCTTAAGCGGAGAGGAAGCCCCTTTGCACCTGACCGGTTCCTCCCCCGTCCCCTCCTGTCCCTTCCTGCTGGTCAGTCTTGGCAGCTTTAAGTCTTGCGGACTTCAATCCCCAGGAGTCCCGGGACCCCAGAATTCAATCCCCACTTGAATTTCTGGGAGTTGAGATCCACGAGCCTTAAAGTTGCACGGCTGGACGCCCCTGCTCCACACCAAAGGCAAGGTGAGAATCTGTAGGAGAACACGTCTAACACAAACGTCGCCTCCTGTCTCACCTGGGACAGGTGTTTTGAGACAGACCGGCCCTGTTGATGGCAGCCGTGGGGCTGAACTCAGTGGGGGTAAAGACTGCTGGGGAGGGGGCTGTGTGACCCAGTTTGCGCCCCGTTCCTGCTGTGTCTGACCCTCCCCTCGGTGGGGCTTCTGTCTCTTCCTCCAGCGAGTCGGTGGTCTGCAGCACCCGGGCCACGGTGATGCTTTATGACGATGCCAATAAAAAGTGGGTCCCGGCAGGAAGTGGAGCCCAGGCCTTCAGCCGCATCCAGATCTACCACAGTCCGGCCAACAACAGCTTCCGGGTGGTGGGCCGCAAGATGCAGCCAGATCAGCAGGTAACTCCACGCCCCCCCTCCCCCCCAGTGGTTTTAAACAACAGCCCTCCCAGCCGCCCCTGGGGGTCATCTGGAGGCCCAAACATCCCAGGGCCGGCCGATAAAGCTTCCCACGCTCACCAGTCTGAGCTGGTGCCCACGTTGTGGGGGGAGGCCCCTTCCTCTTTGGGGGGGGGTATGGGTGCCCCCCTCCATGTTTGCCTCTGTCCACCCCTTAGTCTCCTGCACAAGTTGAGGGAAGAATTCCAAGCTTACTTCCTCATCCTCTGCTCTGCTTTAAAATCCCCTTCCATTGAAAAGTAGCGACCTTGCAGGCAATCCTCGACTTACGGCCACAGCGGAGCTCCAAATTTCTGTTGCTAACCGAGACAGTTGCTAAGGGAGTTTTGCCCCCTTTTTATGACCTTTCTGGATGCAGGTAGCTGTTAAGTGAATCACTGCAGTTATTTAGTATCCTGGCTCCATCCCACCCCCCACCCCCCGGCATTTGCTTGTGCAGGGGATCATGTGACCCCGGGACACTGCGACCGTCGTGACTACTGGTCGGTTGACAAGCGCTTGGATTTTGGCCACGTGTCCCTGGGGAGGCAGCAACGGTTGTCAGGGGGAAAAGGGCCATAAGTCCCTTTCTACAAAGCTGCTCTAACTTTGAACGGTCCCTAAAGAAATGTTTGCAAGTGGAGGGCGGCCTGTATTGTTTTTATTATTATTATTATTATTATTATTATTATTATTATTATTATTATTATTATTATTATTATTATTATTATTATTATTATTATTATTATTATATATTTATTATTTATGAATAAAACTACCAATTCCCCAAGTGGAGCCAAAGGCTGCGTGGATGCAGTCCTGGCCCCAAGGGAGCGTTTCCTCCGGCTCTGGAGCCCCCAGAACCTCTGCTGGGCCGTGGAAGGGGCCGGGCCGGGGGTGCCCGCTGCGGGGGGACAGGGCTGTGCCCTGGGGCAGCACCCCGAGGTCCACGGGGCCTCCTCAGCCGGCTCTACCCACGTCTCTGTCTCTGCAGGTGGTCATCAACAGTCCGATCGTGAAGGGGCTGAAGTACAACCAGGCCACACCCAACTTCCACCAGTGGCGCGATGCTCGCCAGGTCTGGGGGCTCAACTTCAGCAGCAAAGAGGACGCCAGCCAGTTTGCCAATGGCATGATGTATGCCCTGGAGGCCCTGGACACTGGTGAGGCGGAGTAGGGGGGGCACCGTGGTTGGGGACCGGGGACGGGGGGGGGCTGAGCCAGGAGATACGGCTCAGGTCCCCCAAGTGGCCCCACCCAGGCTCCCCAAGAGGAAGCAACCTCCCAAGCCCCCCCGCCTCTCCCCCAAAGGGAGGGGGCTCTCTGGGGGGCAGAAGGGGGGCTCCTGGGTCTGGAGAAGGGCTGATCTACTGGTTGGCCTCTGGGGTACCAACCTGTTGTTTGGGTTGCGTCCCCCCAGGAAACTTGGCACCCCCCCTGCGCCCCACCCAGAATGGACCCACTGCAGACGAACTGGCAGAGCAGCCGAAAAGGTACCGGAAGCCCCGCCAGGTGGAGGAGCTGCGGGGGGGGGGGGGGAGGGGGGGGGGGGCCGGCCCCTTGCAGAAGGAGGAAGTTTCTCCGACTTCGTCAAATGTTTTCGGACAGGAGCGAAGGGGAAGAAAAGAAAAGAGCGATTGTTCTCACTTTACTCGGCCTTTTGTTTGAACAAGCCACACACTCGAGGAGAAACGGAAAAAAAAACCCCTTTCCTTGCCCAGAGTGGAGGGTGCCAGGCTTCCCCTTTGCAAGGGACGGGGGTGGGGGCCGCAGGAGACCCCCCCCCAGGTCCGGCTCCAAGCCAAACTGCCCCCGAGGGTCTCCTTTGGTGCCTGCCGTGCCTCCTTAGATGCCAGAGGAATTGCCCAGAGCAGAAAGCAAGGGTGTGTGTGTGTGTGTGTGTGTGTGTGTGTGTGTGAAAAGGCCCTCCTTGATCAGATTAGCGGCTAATCGGCTTGCGGGGCTCCTGCTGGGGCAAACGCCCGCTGGGTCGGCTGGGCTCCACCTCGTCCCCCCTGGCGATGTGTGGCGTCCCCCTTTCCAGCCTCTTGCCCGAGCCGCCTGCCCCGCTGCCAACGTGAGTGTGCTGCTGTGGTGGGCCGAGGGGGGGGGGGCTGGGGGCTCGGGAGCAGGAGGCCTGCGGGGGCTGCCAGCGGGCACTGAGGCCTCTTCCGCCCTCTTCATCCCAGGCACCAGCAGCCGCTGGAGAAGGAGCAGCCGGAGCAGGCAGAGCGGGAGCGACGGGGGCCCCTTGGAGGTGGGTGCCAGGGCGGGTGGGGGCGCCACCCCCTTGCTCGTCCCTCCCCGGGTCAGCTTTGCATTGGGGGACTTAGGTGGGGTCCCTGGCCCCTTTTAAGACTTGGGGACTTCAACTCCCAGAGTTCCTCGGCCGGCTTGGCAAAGGAAAGAGGAATTCTGGGAACCGAAGTCTGTGAATCTTAGAGAGGCCGAGGTTGGGGGTCCCTACCTTAGGGGACCTCCCCCTGGCTGGCCAAGGGCCCCATTCTTCAGGGTGGGGGAGAGGATCTGGTAGCTGCTCGGAGGGCCCAAAGGAGGAACCGGCTGTGCCCCTCCCCCCCCCCGCCCCCCAGGCGTTGGCCGAAGCAGGCACTGCTTGGGGAAGAGGGTCCTGGGGGCGGGGGGGGGATTTCCTCTTTGCCTTCAGTGGTTGGGGAGGGGGCAGGGCTGCCACGGCTGGGGGCTCCCATCTCTCTCTCTCTCTCTCTCTCTTGCTGCAGCCCCTCAGGTCACCCCTCCAGCAGGTGGCCCTCCGCCACCCCCGGGACCACCTCCAGCCCCCCCTGGGCCACCGCCAGGACCTCCTGGCCCACCGCTGGGAGCCCACAGCGGCCCTCCCCCTCCTCCTGGGCCCCCCCCTCCTCCGGGACCACCACCTGGCCCTCCGCCCTCAGGAGGGGGGCCGCCCCCAGCCCCTCCCCTCCCTGCTTCCCTGGGCCCAGGGGAAGGGGCCGGACCACCCACCGGCTTGGCCGCAGCACTGGCAGGAGCCAGGCTGAAGAAGACGGGGAAGGTGAGTCCGGGGGCAGGAAGGGGCTCCCGGCCCTGAATATTGTGGCAAGGAGGAGGGGCTGTGGGTTGGGGGGGGGCATTGGTTTGGGGGAGACCACCTCACTCCCCCCATCTTCCCTCTCCTGCAGGAGGAAGGAGCAAAGCCCCCCCCTGGCGCAGGAGCCCCCCCCAGCGCTCCCGGGGGAGGGGGGCTGATGGAAGAAATGAGTGCCAAGTTAGCCAGGCGGTGAGTGGGCACAGCTGTGGGGGAGGGGTTGCCCGTTGGGGGGGTAGCCTGGCTGTGGGGGCTTCTCCAGTTGTAGGATTTCCCCCCCCCACCCAGCCCCCCCCCCCACCCAGCACCAAAAGGCTCTGTAGGAGGTGGGGGGAGGCCAGAAACGCCCGGTTTGGCCCTCCCAGGGCTGAGAAATGTTTTTTTTGGGGGGGGGGCAGTGACTCAGGGACACTACGTGTGTGTGTGTGTGTGTGTGTGTGCGTGCTGGCGGGACCCCCCTGGCTGCTCCGGTATTCAGAAGGGCAGCCTTTGTGGGGTGGGGTGGGATGACTTTTGCAGCTGGGGGGTGTGTGCAGTCATTGGGAAAGCCGTTGGCTGGCAGGCCGGGTGGGGAGGGGTCTTGGAGGGGAAGGTCGTGGCTTCAAGAGCCAGAAGAGAAGTAGCGTCTCTCGCACCCACAAGTCCCTGAAAGTCCCTGAAAGTCCCTGAAAGCCCCGGGGGCCCAGAGGGGGCCGGGGTCTCCCACCCAGCCGATGGCCTGCAGCGTCTGCTTGGAGAGGGCCACCTGCTTTGGGCCCGAGGGGCATCCTGGCGCTGCCCCCCTCCCCACAGGCTCCTAAACACAAGTGTGTGTGTGTGTGTGGGGGTCTTATCTGCCCGGGGGGGGGGGGGGGGGCGGGGGGGGGGGGGGGAAAGGAGGTTTAGCGTCTTCTGTCTCCTCCGCCCCCCAGAAGGCGAGTGGCGGAGCAAAGCGAGAAGGTGGTTCCAAAGAAGGACGAGGGCCCTTTGCAGGTGAGTCTGGGTGGGGCCCCCAAGGGACTTTCCCATCCCGGTCCGTTGGGGGGGGGCGCATGGCCTGCCAGCTGCACTTTAGTGGGGTGGAAACGGGGGAGGCAGAATGCAGACCCCTCCCCCCCTCCGTGGCTGAGTGGCCGTGGGAGGCCAGGTGCCAATCAATCTCAAGTCGGACCAGCCGCCCCCCCCAGTTGTGGTGCTCCTGCCAAAGGGGTCTTCGTGGGAATGAGGAAGTCGTGAGGGGCACTGAGGGCAAGTTGGGAGCCCCCTGACCTTTGACCCTCTCTTTTGCCCCCAGCAAGAGGACGCCGATGCCACTGGTGCCAAGCCCACAGGTGGGTCAGAGGGGGCTGCTGCCGGAGGCCCCCAGGGCAACCCCTGGTCCTTGGGCTGCCCGAGAGGCTCCCTGCCGCCCCCCCCCCCCCCCCGATCAGCACAGGCTGACCGCTGCATTCACACCGCTTGCTGAGCCTGGTCACTGATCCTGCCCACTTCCTGGCCTTGCCCAACCCGCTGAAACACAAACACAGCCCTGGAAAGGGCCTGGAAAGAGCCCGGATCAAAGCCAGGTTAATTGGCAGGTTGTGGGAACGGAGGCACCCCGTTTGCGACTGCTTCAGCGCTGCCCCCCCCCCCGCCTGGGAGCAAATGGCCAGGTCTCCAACGTGGGACCTTCTGTCTGGGTGGGGGGGTCTCTGTGTAAGTTTGATCCCCCACCCGCCCCAGGAAAAGAGCCGTGGAATGTTTTCCACGCTTTCCTCCCTTGAACGGCACAGAGTTATGGAGTCTCTCTGCCTTCGTTCCTTCAAAAAACATTCTAGTCCTCATGATTGAGGGGGATTCTTGAAAGTAACAGGTTGTGAAAGGAAACTCCCCCCCCCCCCGTGTAACCCCATCACGCTTTGATCTGTGTCACGTATGAGAAGACGAGAGCAGGTCCCTAGTAAGAAATGGCTGAAGGCAGCTCAGCAAGTGAGCCCAGCTGCATGGAGGGTTTAAGTGCTGGAATCCTATAAGCGGGGGAAAGAGCGAAAAAGGACATTGGGACGGGGGTGGGTGGGGGGTGGGGGTGGGCTGGGCTGCCTCCCACAGGTGGGGAAGACCTCACACCCAGAACACGCTCCCCACAACCGTCCCTCGCTTGATCGTTGCAGATGCCTTCCGGAGACCGTGGGAGAAGTCCGGTACGACATTGCCCAGGTGAGGGGCACCTTCCTCCTCCCCCCACCGGGTTCCTGACCCCCCCCCACAGTGGGAGGGGTGCTCCCCGCCCCCCCCCCCCCACCTCCTTGCAGGCCGCCCCCCCCGGGGAGAGCGGGGACGGGCGGGGCCGCCTTGGGCACCCCCAAGGCCCCCCCCCCCCGATCCTCCCCCGCTTCCCAGCCTGCAACTGAGTCTCTCTCTTCCCCCATCAGGACAGCTGTGAGCCAGAAGACCACTGCGGCCCCCGCCACAGGTCGGCCACAGGTCGGCCACTTTAGGTATCAGGCAGGAGGGGCTGGGAAGCCAGAGACATACAGCAGGGGAGGGCAGCGCGACCCGTGGACTTCAAGCCCCAGAATTCCTCAGCCAGCATGGCTGACTCAGGACTCCTGGGAGTTGAAGTCCGCCGGTTGGTCCCCGGGGCCCAAGGCCTGCTCTCCAGGGGGCTTTGGCAGACGTTGGGGGCAGCAGCTTCTCCACTTGAGCCCTGACCGCATCACCCAGGCTGGTTGGATGCCAGGGGATGGCTGACTGGAGGGGCTGCAGCTGAGAAGGTGGGGGGGGGTCGCCCTTTGACTTGCCTGCCTCTGAGGCCCCGTCTCGGGGGGAGAACAGGGCCCCTTCCTGCCCCTGCTGGCATCAGGCCGAGCCACCCCCGGGGCAGGGGGCAGGGAAGGGGCCGTGAGCGTCTCCAGCAAGCCAGAAAAAAAGGAACCAGCCCCTCCTCCAGGGTGAAAATGGTGCCAGGAAGAGGGTCCCGGCCCCTTCAGCCCCTTCTGCCCCCGCTGGGCTCCTCGGGTTTGGGGGCTGCTGGTGCTTTCTGGCTGCTTTGGCTTCCGGCTCCCCAAGGCTTTGCTCCTCTCCAGCTGTTCCCAAGGCCCCCCCCCGCCCCCCCACCCTCCTGCCTCCAGGATGAGGGCCCTCCCTCTCGGCTTCGTGGCCTTCAGCTTGGGGGTTCTTGCTGCTTTGGAGTCCCCCTTCCTGGTCTCCCGCCCCTCCCCAAGGGGCCCCGGGGCCCGTCTCCTGCGAGGGGGAGGGTGGACTGTGCCCCAATGCGTCCTCTGCCAGTGAAGGAGAGGATTTGTAGCTCAGGGTTGACATGGGTGTGGGTGTGTGTGTGTGTGTGAGAGAGAGTGTTTGGGTGTTTTCGTGCAGACGTTTCATGAACCAACTAGCTAACCGCATCAGGGCCAGTGATGTCGCCTGGTTTGGGTAACGGAGCACCTGCCAGAAGAGCCCAAGGACCCCTCGCTCACCTCTGGGCAAGCCAGCCATTTGTTGCCCCCTGCCAACCCTGAGCCCCCCCCCCCCCCGCCTGGCCTGGAAGGGCCCTGCTGGGGGGCTCTCAGGAACGGGGGCACCAGGGAAGACGGCTGTGGCCCTGACCCTCCCCCTTTCCTCCCCCTCCCAGGATGAAATCTGCGGGAGCCATGACGGCCGGGGAGCCCGCGGGGGGCGCAGGGGATGAATCTGAGCTGGAGCGGGTGAAACAGGTGAGCCCAGGCCCGGCCCCGGCCCCGGCCCCTCTGGGGAGCACTGGGCAGCCTGGTTCACCCCGGCCCCTCCTGGCGCTCCGAGGCCTTGGCGCCACGCGTGCTTCAGGCCTGGGGCGGGGGCAGGGGGGTGTCAAGTGGCACTCATGCCAGCCTGCTGGGTTCAGAAGGGCCTGGGTTGGGCGCTGCAGGAGTCCAGCCTTGCCCTTTCTGCCCCCCCCCCCCCCCCAGCCCCCGGCCTTTTCCCCAGAGGGGGGTCCCCCCCCCCCCCCCCCAGGAACTTCTGCAGGAGGTTCGGCGTGAGCTACAGAAGGTCAAAGAGGAGATAATCCAAGGTGGGTTGGCAGGCAGCCAGAAGGCCAGGGGCCCCCCACCCTCATTCTGGACGAGGGGGGGGGCAGCTGCTGTGCCCGTGGCCTAGATGGAGCGGGACCTGAACGACCGCGTGCTCTTCCCATGGGAAAGCCCCACGGGGGGGGGGGTAGGGCACCCCAGAGACTGCGTCAGGGGAGAAGCATTGACGGGTAAACCCACCCCCCCAGCTCTGCCTGGGGACGGTTTGGGGGGTCCCGGAGTAGAGAAGGCTGTGCATAATTGCCCGAAACTGACCCCCAATTGTTTCGCCCCCTCTACAGCGTTCATCGCGGAGCTTCGGAAGAGGGGGTCCCCTTAGCCCCCAGACCCAGCCGGTGGCACCCGGAGTCCACAGCCTAATTCTCCCTCAGGCGCAGAAGAGAATAAAATGGAGAATCACAAAGGCCCCCTCCTCACTTTTCTGCCCCCCCCCCATGCACCAGACCAGCCCCACACACCCCCTTCCCTCGTTGGCTCCCACCGTGCAATTTTGGGGTGGGGGAAAGGGACAACCTGTGCTGGCCCCCACCCCAGGAAGGGCAGGACCCCCACCTGTGCCTTACCCAGAGCAATAGCAGGAAACCCCCCCCCTCCCGGAAGGAAGCGGGCTCTTTCCCTGGCGGAAGGGGCTCCCCTCTCCCCAGCCCAGGAAGGGCCAGTCCCTCTGCCCCCCTCCCATTTTTGGCTCTCGGCCAAGAACTGTGCTTGGTTCCCTCCCCCCCCAGGAGGCCCTCCCTCCTGGCAGCTTACAAGGGCCCGGATGGGCAGTTCTGGGGGGGGGGTTCCCATATCCTCCCCCCCC